GTGCGTGCGACGTTCGTTATGAAATGAATGCACAAGTCCGATGAAAAATGAACAAAAATTATTATTATCAAACAAAAATGCTTAAATGGTCTCAAATTATCAGCAGTATTAATATCTCACAGTAGTTATCTTTAACTACTCAAATGTAAATAGAACGTTCCCCAACAGCTAAAGCACGCTAATCGCGAATTCTATAATAAACAAGCAGAGTTTTCTAAACAACAGCAAGCAACTAATACAAACTGAGATGTTTTCCTCCTTTTAAGATTTTAAAATCACGCGCTTTTCCAGTACTTTCTCGAAATCAAAAAGAGATATTATTATTAATGCATGCGCTCTTGTATTTTCAATTTTCCGGCTTAGCTTTCTTTTAATATCGTCACGCGCTGCACGCGAGAGAAATAATAACATCTATTAATTGAAAACTAACTTAGCTTTTTAAATACCAAATTCGTAACAATATGGTGTTCTTTAGTAGCATATTGTCAGTAATATTTATTTTCATCTGTGCGAAAAGGCCTAGAATGTTTCTACAAACATTAAACTTGTGTATCGATCTGTTGTTTATGTTCTTTAGTTAGCTTAAAAATTAAAAAAATTGGCAACATAAATCTGAAGTGGTCGGTACTTCTGTTATAAGGTATTTTTTCCCTTCTTCCAGCATGCTTTCATGCTGTAACAGTAGCACAACGGCGCGTTTTCGAGAGGTCAGAGTTTCGAGTCCCAGCAAGGGCATTGCACATTTTTCACATCTTCAGCTTCAAAATAACCGAATGTCTCTAAATGGATTTAACTGAATACATTATAAATTCTGTTTCCGTAATCATTGATGAAATATCCGATTTTATAAAACTGTCCTTAAGTAGAACAGAATCAATGGACATTTCATCAAGGAAACGCAAGACCACATGTTTGCTTCTTGTTTCAAAATGCCCGAAAATACGTTCTTTTTATCGCTTAGCTGTATTTCCATTTGTTTTTTGTTATTCTATAGCAGAAACGCAACTGAAGCGTAGTGTTTTTTGAAACTCAAATTTTAGCACTGAAAGATTTGGAGATTCCGAAGAGATTTGTAATTACTTCAATTATATTTTAAGAGAGTGGCGAGTTAAAATGATTACCTTTATTTCATTCCAGAGAGAGTACAAGAATGTGACAGAAGTCATGAGATTATGCGTATGCACTTTTATTTTCCTTGTGTCAGTATTTACTCAGCAACTCTCGAAATAATATCAATAAGTATGTAGCTGTTACTTTAAGTGCTGAATATTATAATTAAATATTGAGTCATCCGAAAAATCTCTGCGGATTTTAAATGATAAATAAAACCGAAGCAGGACAAAATAAAAAACTTTTATTGATTAAAAAAACGCCCTTTTATTCTATGACTTTTTGCATTCTATCGAATGGATGGAAAATTCCGGTTTTAAAACCAATTAGATTTATTCTCTAAGACGTTGGCAAAAATTCATAGTATATAGTTGCAAAAATACATAGTATTAGTACCAACATACACAATGCATTACGTTTTGGGATGTAGTCCTCATTTCGATGTTACTAAACGACGTTCTTTTGGCTTATCCCATAACACTTTGCTTGTAACATTTTTTCATAATAACCACTTCTCGTCTCCAATAACGAGCCGTTTCCGATAAAGGGCATTTTTATTGATTTCAGCAAAATGGAATGGCATACATACCAGAACTCGAGCAAACATATTATACTCTGTTAAAGTATGAGGTACCCATACATCGTAGCAGCATGATAAGATTATGCACGTTTTAGAATATTTATTCCGTTTGATAGGTCCTGAACTATATAACTGCGGTTTTCAGAGACAGATTCTTTCAACAGGTCCTTGTGTACGAAGGATGGTCCTTTAATATCGAGCTAATAATCTTCGAGACTGAAATTTACAGGCTTAAGGGGAGTTGGAACCCCTAAATCTTCGCAAAATTGTGATTTCGGATTTTTGCATTTTTAAATTTTCTACACTTTTATCTTTCTAAAAATACCATTCTTTAATTGAAAATCTATCATCGAAACGGTAAAAAAATTTTAAAACATAAATTGTTATTTATTTTGATTTTTATAGCTTATTTATTAGGTTCCCTAATATTATTGAAACGAGCTTTTTGTAATAACTTAGATAAAAATTTTTTATTTTTTTTGTGAGAAAAAGTGTAAATTTTACTATGCCTAACAAATATTTTGTAATTTACTCTAAAATTCAAAATGTTTCAAAAGCTCATTTCAGTATAATCAGGGGGTATACTTACAAAACAAATTTCAAGCTTGTATCTACAGCAGATTTTGAGAAAAGGTACATCGAAAATGGCCAATTTAACATTGTCGGTATAGGGGTTTCTGATACCCCTTAAAATTTTCAAACCACCTTCGAATTAAGTCATCGGAAACAGCACACTTTGCAAATACGGCATACATTTTACGAAACATTTTTTTCCTTTCTCTTTTTCATATTTTTAATAAGAGAACATAATATGATGAAAATAAACTTTAGGGTTCTATATTCTTAGCACTGCATTGAAACAAAAACTATGCTACGACAGATGCTAGAATTACTCAGGGTGAGCTGAAAAGATCAAACGACCGTATTTTAACATCCGCTTAGACCAATGCCAATCTGTATCAGCAGCAGCACATGAAAACCTCTGGGGTGATCCGATGCTGATTGCTTGAGCAATAAAATTTCACTGTGAAAGAGATATTAACTTCCCCCCCAAAATCTAAAAGGTTTCAGATTTTAAATTAATTAAAAAGGGGCATTTTTTTAACGTTTTGTGTGCTACCTTTATTTATTAAATATCATGTTCTTCGCACTTAAACTATAAATTTCAGTTCAATAGAAATGATAATTTTAAAATGAGCCTATCTTTAGAATTTCCGATACACAGTTCCTCTCGCTGCAGATAAAAAGGTCCCCCCCCCCGTAGACGGTTGCCATTCCTCGCTTTCAAATCGTTGAGTTTGTTACTCAAAAATTTTTTAAAGTTTTACAAAATATGAAATCGATCATAAAACAAATTCCAAATTTCAAATTTGGGCTTCCACATGCCCATATTCGCAGTAGGATTACGTCATTCAAAATTCAGTGGTTCTATGTATCCTTGTTTTATCATAATGCGATAAATAAACATACATTTATGCAGATTTTTCATTATTTAATTTCTTCAAATAGAACGCTGGATTCTAACATTTGGTAGCAACAGTTTGAAAAGTGAAACGGACATTTATAGTGATTGAATGCAAAATCCCAAAACGAAAACAATAGTCCTTCAGGTACAAAGCAAGAAAATGGCTGAAAATAAATAAAAATTCAAACACATTTTAATTTTAAAGAGACTTCTGAATATGACACAATTATAACCAAATAAACTAAAACCGTGGTACAATGTCAAATATTTCTGTAAGATGCCCTAAAAGAAACTTCCCTGTCCTCTCAAAATCCAATACAACAGCTGAAAGTGTTTTAAATTTTTAACCTACGTTTCTACTTCCTTTTAATCCTTTTTATATTCTACTGAACAAAAATTTATATCAGCTGAGTACTGCCTTTCCTACTAAGCGTTTGTTGGAAATATGTCCCCTGTATAATGTATCTTTCTTAGTTCGCGAAACCCGTAACTTATAAAACTAGTTACAAATATTGCATCAATGGCCATATTTCCTTTGGCCTGATTCAGGATACTAGATAATTTTAGATGCATGCATAATTCTAGATACTTCTATGGAGTGACACTTAACAGCTGTCTTGGGCTATTAACAATAATCATAGTCTTTGATATGTGTTGGCTCGGAAGATTCATATGTACAATCACAGATATATACAATCTCTGATCCAGAATAGTCAAATTAAACTGTATGGTAATTTGAAAATTTCTTTTCTGCTGTTTCTGTCAAGATTAGCTACTTGAAGTCCCTTTGCAAACTCTTATTTCTTTCACATTCTTAAACAGCACTTCCTAGCTTTCTCGCTTTCAGATTTACCAGCTTCCATGCTACTATATAATATCTGAGTTTTTTATTTATAGTAAACCATTAAGTAGAATCTACGTTTATTTTCATCATTCTAAAAAGTTCACTAATTTTTATTTGCCTCATAGAATTGCACTGTGCGCTTAACATGCTTGGAGCATAATTTCAATATTGTTACGAAATGTACAGGCGCGGTAAGATGGCTTTCCCGCAAAGAAGTTTAGTGTTGCCATAAAATGACAAGGGAAGGCAGGGTTGCCACATTTGGTGAAAAATCGCCCATTTGGCGACAAAACTGGCGATATGCCGTGGACGGATGGAGAACCTTCTGGAAAGAATTCGTACCGGTTTAGCCGAGAATGTTCTCGAACACAAGCTGAAAGCAATATAAACCCTGCTAGTACGCGTAGAGTCAGAGAGTGTGAAATAGTGTCTCGAGTTAGTCTGTGCGGAGTCGATCGAGTTGACAGCCGGGGCGGCGAGTGCCGAGTAGGTCGTCGAGTGCATCGAAGAGTCTCTTAGTGTATCGCTGCTAGTGCATCGTCGAGAGGGTGTGTTAAGCTGAGGGAACGACTGAACCGAAGAGTCAGGAACTGTGCTCTGTGTGTCGTCGAGAGCATCGGGAGTTGTAGCGTGGAGAGTCTCCAGAGAACGTGGAGTTCCGAGAACAACCGAGCAGAGTCGGGAGCTGTACTCTGGTGCTTTGCAGTGAAGCTGTCTCCACCGTTGTAGCCTGATAACCTGAAGGTTGTGTCGCTGATTGTTCCAGCGAATGTATAGTAGATCTTCGACGACTGTAAAACGTGACTTTTGATCTGTCCTGATTAATACCGGCCAATAAAGTGTGTTTCGATACATCAGCAAGTAGTGTCGTCATTATTCACTCCAAATCCACACGAACCCCGTACGAACATGAAGGAAGAAAATAACCTAACAACTGATGTCAGAAAAAAAAACGCAACAATATGTTTTACTCAAAACACATTTTATCCTAGAAAACTCACCTACGGAGTAATCTCCCACAGTTTGCATTGTACATGCACCAGATACTTCTGTTTGACCATAGGCTTGGAGAACCTGAAATGTGAAAAAGGTAAAAAAAAGTAGGCCTTATTAGGGAAAAATATCAAGTTTTATTTGCCAATTAAAAATGTGTTAAATATTCCTTTCCTTAGATTCAAAATTTTGTATCGCTGAGCATGCTATTTTGGCAAAAGAAAAGGCATTCTTAATTCGCTATTTTTTTTTTAATTTGAACAGGTCATTCATAAATTTGTGTCTTACTAATACTGCCATAAATGTAAAGCAAATATGCCTTTTATTTATAGTTATCTGTCATTCATTACCATAATCAATGCCAGCATTAGTGAGATAACATTCTGCGTGTTGCAGCGAGCTATAAGATGAAATTTCAAAAAACGTTAAAAATCTTCATTGGCACAAATCTCCATAAAGTCTGAAAAGAACAGGGACAATAGCTTTTCACAGTAATTTCAACAAAATATTTATTTTCAAAAATCAATTAAAATTTTTAAAAAAAAATCTGAAACCTTTGATATTTTATATTACGTCCAAAGGGGCGTTTATTTAACATTTTTGTTTTATCTTTATTTATTAAATATCATGTTCTTCGCATCTAAATCATAAAATGCAATTCAACAGCAATATCACAAATTATTTAAAAGAGCATATCCTTAGAATTTCCTCTACACAGTCTCGCGCGCTGGAGATAATGTGATAAGGTCTCATAGAGGTTCTTTGTCTAGGATGAATGATTTCAGAATGCATTGGTAGCTCTTTCAGATGAGTGGTGAAATCCTGTGGCAGCAAGGTGCCTTTGTTGATGATTCCAGTTGCAGCCTCGAAGGTCACTCGAAGGGACAAAGAGATAAAAGAAGTATTTTCATCAGGATCAGAATATGGACACCTTTGCGTGAGGGAATGAAGGAATGTACGAGTGAAGGAATCTCCCTCCCCCCGAGAGTGCAGCGCGGGTGAGATATAAAAAGGTTTCTCCTGAGAAGATCGAGAACTTTTCTGCTGGAGCTATGGGCATGTTGGCCCGCTAGAGTTATCACTCCTTCGTGTATAGTGTTAATAGCGACAGGGCATTTTCTTGAAGTATTGAAATTACAGGACTAATGTCCCGTAATTTCAAAACTTCCTCCGCTCGTTTTCCCATTACAATGTATCCAAGTCCCACATCGTCTGAATATGCACTTGTTAATGTTTTTATTATATTAAAATTCATGTTATTGTTATAACTTGAGTTAGAAGTTTATTTCACCCTGTATCACAACCGGAGTTTTGTGTAGCCATTTCGGCCATTACATCACAGCAGTAATATTCAAATTGGTGGCAGCGTTTTGGGATTATTCCTGAAAGTAAATTTAGGAACGGACTTTTCGCCTGCGGACTTCAGCTAACATCGTATTTTGTTTTCCGTACATCTGTTTGTGTGAGTGTTCCGGATCTTTGAATGGAAGTTCCAAAAAAGGCAGTTTTGTAAAGGACTTTGTATAAGTAGTCAAAAGACTCTTCTTTGCACAAGAAGAACCTAATTTTGCGTGTAAGGACAGTTCGCGTGGTGAAGCCTCATCAGAAGGTGACCGTGTGTCAGAAGAGAGAGCCGAAGAAAGTGCGATCTAATGCCGCAAAGTAGTGAAATTTTCCCGGAAGAGTTAGGTATATCCAGGTTAGTGCCAGAAGAGTCATCGAAGGCGTCTTCAAACTGGTGAGTACAATTTTTGTGACTTTGGAGAAGTTATGCCAGTTATTCGAGACTAAATTGATTTTGGATATAGCTCTGTTATTGGGGATTAAAAGTTTTCTTGCGGTTAAACGTTTGGTAATTGAAATTTAACTGTATGTTCTGCTGTTCTATTAACTGTTTAAATTGTTTGAAGTATTGTAATGGCATACTTTAGAAAAATTTAGACTTTAAATCAGTCCAGTGTTATAGGACAAAAGTTTTGTAGTTTAGATAGTGCAGGGAAAAGTTTCATGTCAATTAGAATTAGCATTTTTTATTTATGTGTTGTATGCATATGTTAAATATTTAGAGATTTTTACGTGTTTTAAGGCGATTACTGTTCATAAATTATTAGGGGATTACTCAGTTTTGGAGAAATAGATCTGTTTTTGTATTTTTGGGTAGGTTATTTTTTTTAACTGTTTTTTTTTCCCATAATGGTTGAGTTTAATGTGGAAATTTACTAAAGCTCTGCTATTACAGTTAGTGGAGGATTTTGATACAAATGTGTCTCAGGCAAATAAAGTAAGAGAAATTAGGCAGCCTATTGTTAATGCCGAGGATTAATTATGATGAGGAAGCGACGAAGGAATACACGGCGAAAATTTGGGTTGCGGCTGAGCAGAAAAGAGCAGAAGAAATAGTTGAACAAGAGAGAGCAGAACGTTAACGCGAGAAAGTAGAGCGGGAAATCAAAAAGAGAGAGCAAAACATGAACGCGAGACAGTAGAGCGGGACCGTGAACAAGAGAGAGAGAGCTTTTTACTTTATGTGAAATTTTTGAGGTCATAGAAACACCAAATATGTCAAAAACATGTTTTCAGAAATTCCTTCAGTAACTTTTTAAGATAACGTTTATTCGAAGTAAGCAATAGTAAGTTTTGTTCCCTTTTCAAGGTGTTTTATCCTTGCTTACCGCGTGCTATCGTGGTGTAATTGGAAACACGTCTGGCTAGGATCGAAGTTCAAATCCTCATTTTCCCATTTCCCGCATTCATAAAAATTCTCAAGAACTCTGCAGTTTCCGCCTGTATTAAATACTGTGCACAACTAATCCTTAGTCCAGGACTTGGCGTTTAAATCCTTCCTTTTTCTCAGTCGCCCTTAAAGTGAGAAAAAAGGTAGTACATTCTTCCTAGTGTACCTTTGTGGTGTAACTAGATGAATGAAATCCCTCCCGCCTCCAGTTATGCGCAAAGATTGAATCTTGGAGAGGGAATTGCACATGTCTCATGTTTCCTGCTTAGAGAAATCTAATGACGCTACAACTTAATATCGGGCCACAGAATTCTGTTCAGAATTATAAAAACTCCTGTAGTGAATATATTCTTATACATGCATTGTAAGCCGTGTTATATCAATATTCTTGTCAACGGCATACAATCTATGCAGGCATTCTTTTCTGAATAAGCGATAAATAAATATTATTACAAACGAAGTTAATGTTTTGTCCGGGAAACATTTATTCGTGGTGGAATTTAACTTGATATTCCTGTTTCTACTCTTCCATATTTGCTTGAAAATTTCTTTAAAATGCTTTTACTCAAAACGGTGTTTAATAAACGTCAAAAAAATTAACAAAATTCAAGCTTAGTTTATAGTTATTTGGAGAAAAAAACAAAACAAAAAAAAAAAACCCCTCATTGAATTTCGAAAGACAAGTTGGTGCCGGCTGCCTTTCCCGGGAAAATAAATTGCTTCTTTTGTAGACAGAAGTCATCACTTTGAAAATAATATAAGAATTTAACAAGGATCTATGTTTTGTCAAAGAAATCCAAGTTTTCTGTTCATATGCCTTTTTTTAACATACGGTATCGGGCCGAATGGTCGAAAAATGTATTAATTTCATTAGAATGAAAGCATTAATTATGCTATCCTGGATGGTTTAATTTCAAAAGTTTCTTCTTTAGATCAAGGAAGTTAAATTTGGAGTGGAGGTGCATCAGAGAGGGGTTCATCTAATAAGGGAAAATTTTGAAGCCTAATTATAAAATAAAAGCTTTTCAGATAGTGCCTTCTGCATGAGAAAAAGGTAAAACTCATAGAAGTTCTTTAAATTCAATTTCGTGTCTAAAAAGGGCCAGAGTTTAATTTTGAGCGAGCAGTCAACATTCAAAAAATTTTGAAAAGGATACAAAGGTGCAATACATTTCCTTGATTACACGTATGCCGTCTAAGAGTGAAACTCAGTTATTGTAACTATTACGTATATGTTATGAGTTTTCATTAACATTATAAGGTTTAGAGTCTCTCACTCTTGTACCTTGTGATTAACCTTTTGGTAAACATTAAGTGACTTATCTCTAAGTCTAAAAGTAAGTACAGAAACTTAAGAAGGATGTAAAATACTCTTTATTTTAAACTTAATAAGGTGAACAGAAGGCACACATGATGCTTACAATTCCGCCAACATTTGTGGCGAGAAACTCAAAGTAGAAATTCAAATGTATCTGTATATGTTCAAATGTATTATCAAATAGTCAAAGGTTACACAGAGAAATTTAATTGCGAAGTTGGATCAGAATTCACCGGCCTAGGTTTAAATCGGCAAATAGTAATGAAACGCCGTAGACAGGAAATCTTATCTAGAATAACAAAAATAATAACGTGGCCTTGAAGCTGCAGAACACGCTCTATCTAAACAATTTCAAATCCTCACATAAATACACGCGAACTACACTCATGTCCAAAATTATCTTTTCATACCCATAAATGATGATATTCAATGAAATATCGAATGAATGTGATCCGTATTTGCAGGGAATGTGTGAAAACCAAGCCTAATTAGCATTATCCATCAAAGTAATCAAAAGGTTTGTGATATGCAACTCTAGCGTTACGTCATCCAAGGTGAATCAAGAGCTTTGCGCAAACTGAATATCTGAGTGAATTTCTACAAATAGCGTTTGATTTCAGTGTGTGTGGACTCAAAGCGGTTTTTATGGCTTCGAGTGTCATTTGGAAGAATCTGTAAAGTGGCGATTATCGGCCGTTTAGAAGCAGGGCAGTCAATCATGGAAACGCCACATGTCTGAATATTTCAAGACCGACGGTCTCTAAGCTATGGAAACAGTTCAAAATGATGGAAAGTGTTTAAGGAGGCCGGACAAGGTCGGAAACGAATGACAACTGCTTCTGAAGATCGGTATCTGGCATTAACTGCGTCGTAACAGAAAGGCTACTGCTCGCCAGTTAAGTTCAGAGCTTACAGCCGCCACTGAATTGTGCATCACGGCAAACAATATACAGAAGGCTTAATGAAAAAGACCTTTATGGGTATTGTTTTTAACTGTCTTCACAGAAAAAGAGGAATCGCTTTAATTGGTGTAAGAACTCAAAAATTAAGAACATCAATGATCCCTGTTCTCTTTACTGATGGTCGTTAGTTTATTTAACGTGGGACATCTGGAGGGAGTCAGGAACACGAAATGATCCCTCGAACATTGTGGAACGTGACCGTTTCGGTAGTGGAGTGTGGATGGTATGGGGTGAATAATGATCGATGGACGTACGCCCTACACGTGTTCAGCAGCGGATCTGTGACAGGCCATATATCGAGATGAGGTCTTAGATCCTTATTAAGACTTTTCAGGGGTGCATATGGACCTGACTTTTTATTATGGATGATAATGCCGTCCACATCGAGCAAACCTCGTTGATGATTCCTTGAAAGTAAAGACATTAAGCGAATACCTTGGCCACCAAACTCTCCTGACCTTAACCCGATAGAGAACTTATGGGACTCCTTGGAAGAGCAATTGCACGTATACATCCTCCTCCTAGAGATTGTAAATGCTCTGAAGACGGCATTGCTGGAGGTGGAGATTAATTCCCCAAACTGTGGTTAACAACGGTTATTTCTAGCCTTAAAACACGTTGTGAATGTGTGTGCAAGTCAGGGGAGATTATTCCATATAAATTCGTAAGACTTAATTCTTTTTCTGAATCATTCCTTTTTTTCCTTAACTCTCTTTGTCACACTTTATTACCATTTTTATGTTTCATGCTACAATTTTTATCATATGAGGTGATCTTCAATTTTTTTCTTTTGCATTTATGTGTCATCATGTTATGTATGATTCCACGAAAATTCATTAAATTATAAGTCATAGTCTCTGAGAAATCCGTGAATTTATGCATGTAAACATAATTTTGGACATGAGTGTAGTTTGCTATCTGGCGGGGAAAGGAAAGAGAGAAGTTACAGTAAAGGTTCAAAGCATGAAATAATTGGTTATGTATATTAAGTAATCCTAACAACATTAAAAGAATTTCGTTTATAGAAGAATACATGTACACTGCGGGAAAAAAAAAAAAAACAGTTCTATATTTCCCGTTCTACTGGGCCGATTGACAAAATTCAAATTTCGTTTTTTATGTCTCGAAAGCGCGACTTAGAATATGTATTAGATATATATCTAGCATTGCTCTATCATAGGTATTTTGACACAAAATCGGACCTTTTCTGAAACAACATGCCAATGTTTTTCCATATTTCGATTCTACGGCTCACATTATGCCTCGATATTAAATTTTGTAAAATTTAATGCGAAATTTATGGAAAAATTCAAAAATTTATTTAGCACAATTTTCTTCAGTTTTCGACAAGAATAGTTGGTTCACTTTTAGGATTGCTAGAAAGTGGCAGGTGAAGTCAGGGTTGATTTTAGGTCCCAAATTACGCCCTAAAATTGAAATATGGAAAAAAATTGGTATGTTATTTCAGAAAAGGTCCGATTTGTGTCAAAATACCTATATTAGAATAATTCCATATATATAAATCTAATACATATCCTAAGTCACGCTTTCGAGACATGAAAAACACAAGTTGAATTTCGTCAATCGGGCTAGTAGAACGAGAGATATAGAACTGTCCCCTTTTTTTCGCAGTTTACATCGTCTTCCTATTGTTGCGTTCTACGGGTTCGTGGATTCGGAGTAATTGATGAAAACACTTGATGAAGAATCAAAACACAATTTATTGGCCAGTAAGTGTCTAGCACCAGCATGGCTTATGCTTCTCGCATGTGCAGTAAGCATATTTTCAGCATGGTAACCTTCGTCGTTGGGCAAAGAGCATCTATGTATGTTTGGCTTGGCGATGAATTCGGATTTCAGCGATGCGTAAGTGAAGTGCTGCGGAATTTAAAAAAAATTTTCACTTTGTGCCCAATTAATTATTCGAGCAATTATGTACTGCGACTTAAAAAAGCGTATGTGGTGAGCCTTGTGTCAAATATGCGACAATTTATTTACTGGGGATTTGAAAAAGCATATCGGGAAATAGACTTTATTCTTTTTTCACTCGTGTTGATGTTTATGAACTGTTTATATTAATGTTGTAGGTTTTCGTAACGTGCAATAATCGATTAACTTAAACATACATTTGTCTCGAAATGTATTTTTGTTTGATATTTCTTACTGTTACCATACAATTTCTTTTGAAATTCATGTTTTCCACAAAGGCATGTATCATCCCAGGAAAATAATTCTTGAGAGCTTAACATAATAAATTAATTTAACCTCATTTTACAAATTTGTTTTTTATTTCATATTTACATTAATCATAAAAGTTCATCTTTTAACAAGCATTCAGCAAAATAACACTTTTGGTCCTTTCTTTTCGTATTCTCGATTAAATTACCTTGCCTTAGGTAATCGAAAATAGGTTTCCAAACATACAAAATTATTTTTCATATTAATCACGCTAAATATAAGAAATTACTAGCAGCTTAACTTCTTCAACGCTTCAAGCTTCTTATTTAGGCTTAACTTCTGCAACGTGACAAAATTTAGAGGAATAACAACATATCCTTAATTGCCAATCTCATGATACATCGCCAATTCTATATAACGGACGCTAGACAATAATGCCAAGAAACCTTGTCATTGCGCACGCGTGAAGCATAAACCATGGGAAAGTATACTACACGGGACAGTTCCAAAGACACGTTTATACTCGTTGAAAAAATACGACAAACACGCTGAAACAATCAGCAACACAGCCTTCAGACTCTAACGGTGAAGACAGCTTCACGGCAAAGTACTAAAGTGGAGCTTCCGACTCGGTCGATCGCTCTCAAGGTAATCTCTGAACTCAAGCCATTACTTTTTCTCCATACAGCCAGGGCATATATAGCTTTAATCTATCTTCGAGAATATTTCCGAGTAAACCGCTAAAAGTATGTTCTTGAATGTTCTCGCTCCTTTTATGGTATATTGCCACACTTGTTGCCAAATATCGCCAAAAGGCCGATTTCGCGCTAAATCTGGCAATCCTGACTTTACCTGCCACTTTCTGGCAATCCTAAGCTCGCTTGCTTTGCGGGAAAGCTATTTCACTAGCCGTTGGGCATTTCGCAACAGTATTATTAGTTGCAAATTCTTCCCGTTTCAACTTCCAGAATAAGTTACTCACATCGGCAACAGGAAATTTTTGTTAAAGCAGAATTTAGAAGATGATATGTTTTTTAAGTACTGGAATTGTTCTTAGCTGTAAATTTATTACATTCGTATACATTCAGTAGTTTTAATGGAACAAAACGAAAGCTACGGTTCGGTGAAATAAGAACTCTGTACTTAGAAAACAATTGAGCAATAAAGTCGAATTTTTTATTGCCTCGCACGGAGGCAATAATTTAATAAAATACTGCATATTTTAACAATTGTTGCTTTCATTCTTCAATTTAAATTTTAATAGCATGAATCTTCTTTCCTTCTTCATTTATAGTTCTTTTAATTTATGACCTCGTAGAAGAAAAACATTGAGTAATCTATGTTAGGAACGTAATGGCTTTTGTGTCTAGTTAATGAATTAAGTTAGTTTATTTTAATTTAGACCCTAGTTTAATTATTCATTTAACTATTTATTTATTTACTATTTACTTCATTATTGATTTAATTATTTCATTTATTATAATTTATTTATTATTTTCATTTATTTAGTTATACTTATGTTTATTTTAGATTATATTTAATCAGTGAAGTTGATACGGTATACAGTTGCTCAGAATACAAGAAATGCTTACGTGTTGGAAAATATTAGATCCAAACTGAATTTCGATAGCATATAAAGCATACATACCACACAGCCTAATGCACAGCGGAAGAAATTTTGAACATTTCCAGCTAACGGTGCTCCAGCAGCAATAAGAACTTGAACTCGGCCTCCCATAATTTGGCGGATACGTTTAAATATCAGACGATCCCAAAGGCTATTCTTCCTTATGATCTGCCTGCAAAAGACATTTGGCTTATCACTACAGAAAATTCTGTCACAGAGAAGAAGAGAAATGCAAATACTATTTTACAATTGACATTAGTACTATGAGAGTAATGTTTCGCTCAAAAACGTTTTCCGCTTGTAGTTTTTGAAATTTTTTTAGTTTCGTCTTTTTGAACGCATAAAACAATTGCTTGCTAAAAGGTTTATTTGGTTTATTTAACTACGGCAAAGCACACGAGGGCTATCTGCTTGAGGGAAGGGATGCCTCCGTGGAGGAATTTCTAACCGAAATTGGCTCGTATACACGTTACACGGGGGAGAAACCACGAAAACGCCAATGCAGCCGCCCCTTAGTTGGGATTCGAACCCCGGACCGAGCTACAGTGTTCAGCGATTTTACCACTCGGCGGCTGGTTGGCTTTGCTAAAAGGAAATTCCCACTGCGAGAATCTTCTTAATCTTTTGACTACTAACGAGACCTTTTGACCTTATATACTCCCCTTTTTAAAGGGCGACTGGGGATTTTAGGGGACGCAATCGCCAAATAATGGGTGTAGAAAATCCTCAACGAACACCCTTTTAGTTCGGGCGCCACTGTAGAGACATTAGGTACATTTTTTGGAAGCAGGAAAGATGAAAAATTGACAACGCCTTCGCCACGAATCGAACCACGGACCTCTGGAATACCGGCCCAGCGTGCAGAACCACTACACCACGAAGGCACGCTAGGAAAGCGGGAGATATACCTTATAGCGTTATGAAAAGAATGCTTTAATCTGCACCATACAATATAAATTTATTTCATATAATAAAAGTTTCCAGAATAATAGGTGTGCTTATAGTTAAGTCGATCGCTACCTGTGGGACATATGTATCCGAGCCCTGGCTGGGACATATGCCTTTGGCTTGAAACCTCTTTGACAAAAAAAAAAAAAAAAAAAAAAAAAAAAAACCCGAATGGTAAATTTACCTTATTTATAGCATATTTTGTTCACTTAGATAGAAAACGGGGTAATGTTTCTTAATTCGTAGTTAAAAGGTTAAAAGTGAGGTGTTGAGAAAAGTGGAAAAATTCGAGGAAGCATGAAAAGTCACTTGGTTAAAATCTAAAGAAAATATAACGAATCTTACAAGCAAATATCAAACAATCCCTGATATGTAAGTTCAGTAAAACGAAGGATACCCTTAAACTATAAAGGGCAGTTCCCACTAGGGTTTATCTGAGCTAACGGACACAACTGACGTAGCCGACCCATCTCCAAAATCAGTTTTTTCCCATAGGGCAGCAAGTTGAAAAATCTGAACTGCAGGCATAGTGGAGCTAGTCGACACAGGGAACTGACTCCGTTAGCTCAGATAAACCCCAGTGGGAACGGAACTTAGAGTGCCAAATCTAGACAAGTGAAAGGCATGCATTCAAACATTTATTGCGAGATTTACTAATAATCTCTGAATTTCAAGAAATCTAAAATCATATTTCAGTGGCGTGCTATGGTACAAAACTGCCTGAGCGGAAACCGTACACGTTTTAAGGCATGTTTAATGCTCTAGGAATGGAAAATATTTGTCTTTTAAAGCCTTTTGATTTTACTGAGACACTTTGGTGGAATATTTCATCTAAACTATGTTTTGCTTATCACAATGGAAATCATGAATAGTAAGTAAATGAATTTGGCATTCTCTTCAACAGAAAAGCTAACTGTAAACCTCTTCTCAAGAGACTTTAGCAGAATGAATCATTTTTCTTTCATCATTTATAGTCCTTTTTATTTATCATCTCGTAGCAGAAAAAAAAATAAGTAAACTATGTTTGAAATGTAATGACTTAATTCAGTTTATGGATTACGTTAGTATACGTTTATACGGCGGAATGACACAAATTTTGTAGAAAGTCCAACACCGATATGTTTAAGAATGCATGGAATGAAGGAATATGCTTGTGAAAGAAGGCTAAAATCATTCTCAAATTGTACATAGAACGAAATTTAAGGAACTGATTCGAATTTAATAATTTTATATAGTTACGTTGAAGGTAAAGTCTGTTGGACAATTTTTCTTCCCGTCTGACTTCTTAGCTTTAAATGTAATGAGCAATATCTAGTATTGGCGGTTATACAAAATGAAGGTAACATAATACAAAATATCTGCTAGCTTGTGGGTCGACTGGCAGCTTCTGAAAGACAAATTCAAGCTGAATAGAATATAATTCGCAATATTAGCAAAGCCTAACTTTAAACAGGACCCCTCCTCAAAAATCCGTAAGAGTTACTCAAAATAGTAAAGTTTAGGATTTGATATATCCACGAAAGTGTCTCATAGGTATTTGAAAAATCTGTAATCGTAAACCAAAGATAGTAAAATCTTTGGTTTCAAAAGGGCAGAGTTTCAAATTAAAGATAAAAGAAACATTTAGATATTGCTGATTAAATAAGGAATTAATAATTAAATGGGAAGTTTAAAGAATTAAAGTAAGAAATTTAAAGAATTTGTAATACTCCGAAACTTCGCAATGAGCCTATTCATTAACTTCACGTATAAATTAAATTTCAGTTTTTTTACAGTATTAAGAGAAAATCAAGTTCCGGTGAATTTTCTTTGAAAAGTAAGGATTGCATAGGTGTTCATTTATTTTCGTTTGAACAAGTGCCTTACTTCTACAGTCGTTCTCAAATAAAGGAAGGTAATAAAAGGAAAATGGCTAATAATACAACTAAAATGAAGAGTAAAAGAATCTAAAGCGACTGAAAAAAATGAACCAATTTGTTGCGTTCAAACATGTTATACTATATGGAATATTAATTATAATTTAGGAAGGGATATTGATTAAATGATTAACTTTTTACTTTAAATGTTATTTTACCAGTATTTGTTGAAAGGGTTTCTAACCGCATTTCAAAATTTCATATAATGAAGTCGTTTTATAATTTCTTGTGTAGGATAAGTGTTTGTAAAGTTCACTTTTGCATAAGATATTATTTAAAAAAATCTGAAAGCTTTCAGATTTTATAATTACGCCCAAAGAGCCGTTTTTTAATGCTTTATGTGCTACCTTTATTTATTAAATATCATGTCTTCGCACTTGATCCACAAAATTCAATTAAAGAGCGATATCGCAAAATATTTAGAAGAGCACATCTCTAGAATTTCCGATAGAGTCTCGCGAGCTAAAGATATTTTTTTTTTTCCGTGACATTCTCCACTTTCAAATTTTGGAGTTTCTTAATCAAAAACTCATAAGTACTTTACAAAATTTGAAATAGATACTAAAACAAATTCCAAATTTGGCTTCCAAATGCCCATATTTGGGTGGAGACGTACGTTATTCAAAATTTGACGGCTCTAGGTACTGCTATTTTATCCCAATGCTAGAACATGCATACGTTTATGTACTAGATTCTTCATTATTTAATTTCTTTAAATATAATACAGGGCGATAATATTTGTTGGCAACAATTTCAAAAGTGATTCGCCGTTTATACAGAATTGACGCAAAATGCCAAAACGAAATCTGAGCTATACGCAATATCCACAAAATTTGTTTGCCTTGCCTTTTATTTTCGTAACCATTTCTAGTTTACGTTTACTTTCAATTACAAAAATGCTTAAAAGGACGCAAAGATTCATATGTTAGTGTTTTTAAATTTAAAGAAATGAGTCTTGTACAAGTTACAAAATCTAAGTCCTCCAGTACCTATGCTTTTATTTACGGAAATTTTTTGTCGGTCACAGAAAATAAAACACACAATATTTTACACGCGTCGAGGAAATATTGATCGAGATATTTGATACCGAAATGGGAATCATATTCAGTGGCCGTACATTTGGATTTGTACCAAACTAAAAATAAGACATAGTTTAGAAAAAGATTTATGATGTTAAGCGACTACGTGACGATCTTTTCTATCCAGATTGCTGTGAAAAATATTAATCAATATACTATACATATATAATATTTTCAAAATGGAGATCTTATTCGCAGAAACTTACAGAATTGGTGTTGAAGAAAACATTGGCAGACTTAAGTATTGGCTAACAGACAACCTCTAACATTATTTGAATAAAGTAAAAACTGACAACTATTGACATTTTAATGAATTTTTTACTAAATTGGTGATTCTAAAATAATAAAGTTTCATGAGAAGATTGATAATGCCTTTGAGACTTCCAAAAAATTACTTGAGTGAAATATGTTTGGCATATCAAATGTAACAAAATTATAAATAAAGACACTAGTAAATCGCAAAAGAATATCAATGAGCATTTAGGGGAAACAATGATTTCGAATTATTTATAAACCAAACTTTTAACGTAAGTTCAAAATGGCGTCAATTTGTATCGTCCGGTAGTCAAACTTTTATCTTTTATTTTTTATATCGAGTATACAATTTTCCTGAATGTGAGTATTGAGACCGGAAAAAGGTGTAAACAGTTAGATTTCGCTATTTTTACACACTGCATTTCTTTAAATTAAAAAATGGCAAAACATAAACCTTTGCGTCATCTAAAATATTTTTGAAACTGGAAGTATATGTTTGCTACAAACGGTTGCTAACGTAAAGGCCGAATAAGGACCCGGCGCATAGTTAAAACACAATTATGAGTTCTCCTTTTTTATTTTTGAATAGTATTTTGAAGTGTAACTCCCTGCGCTATTTTATCTTATGTTTGTTTCTGTACATCTTTTGATTGCTGCAAAGATTAATAAATTTTTTCGTTTGTTGGAGTAGAGAGTATTCTGCGAGATTAGGCTTGTAATATAAAATAATTTGATGTTAACGGAATAAATTTACGTTGCACTAGGACTGTTTATCATACAAAAGTTCTTTTTTCCACATATCCCAATTTCAGGAGAGGTAATGAAATTGATGCAGACATCTAATCGCTTTATACTATCGAATTACAGTCCATAAATTTAGCAGATCTCCTGCATTTATAAAACATCTTAAGATGTCTAGCATCATGGGCATTAATACTAACTTCCAAGACACTGGATGTTTTCTGGTTTCATTTGGTTTGCTTTAGCTGAATATAGTAAAGCAAGCTAAGTCTATCTATCTACTTAGGAAGTTTAATTTGGCTCATTTGATTATGGAGAAGGACTCGAAAGCTATCCGCTTAGAGAAAGGGATGTCTTCGTGAAGGACTTTCTAGGGAAAACTGACTCGTATTCACATTAAACATGGATAAAAACACGAAACATCTCATACAGCCTGACCCCTCTAACGCTTTTGTGGAGGACTTGCTAGCTTGTATCTATCTACATTACAGATGGGAAAAGCCAGGAAAACGCCCAAGCAGTCAGCCAGTTTGTCTGGAATCGATTCTAGGTTGAAATATCCGTGTTCAGCCACCTTACAGATCAGCCGCTGGTGGATCTTGGATTTTTGCTGAGGAAATATTGAATGATTTCCAAAAAGCAAAGCCCCATTTATCTTTTGTGTGGCTTACTTAAAAATTGTGGTTCACTCCGAGGTGATTACTCATCTGCAGCATCTGAAAGATTGTATCCAGTAAACTTGTTGCGAAGTTGAACTTACCGTCATCGAACATATGTTATTAAAATAATTGCATGATTTTAATACGGGTGTTTTCAAGGAGGAGCTTTAAATAAAAAGATTTCACCTGACCTATGACACGTGACATAAGGATCACCCATTAGAAGTGCTTTTAATATGATATTATTAAATATTTTTTTCTAGAAGAGCATGAAATACACTGAATGGAAATACATATTCAAATATAAAATTTATAGACATGACTTGGTTTTCTATATTTACCTATTTACATCATTTTGCTTCCTCCGAAGAGCTAAATTCAGGAGTGATTTCTTTAAAATGCTACTGCTTGCCTCTGTCATTACCTGAAAGATATAAATACTATTTTAGAAGAAAACTTAGAGAGGAGTTCCGTTTCTTATTTATTTTAGTCGAGGAGTAAATCACAATGAAGATTGTTTTAATAAAATTTATTTCAAAACTGCAGCTGTTAATTCATGCAATGCAAACGAAACAAATATAAAATATACAAATAAAATACGCGATAATTCTGAAAACATTTAGGGAATTTTAAAATGTTATATTAAACAAATTTTATGTACAATTTTAAATATTGAGTGCTAATGAACTTCTTCAAGAGAGTCTATATTTTACATTGTGTATTTCTAACAGCTTTAATAGTTTTTTTTTAAATTTTATTTATGACCTATAATGTAAATGTGTAACAAGTTATTTTTAAAAATGAGGATATATAAACTACGTATGCTATAAAGATGCATGTTGCAAAGTTATGGCTTCGGGTAGCAGATTTTAAATTTCCTAATAAAAACTACAAAATATTGCAATATTTTATTGTAATTCCTGTCCTAACAATTACAACTTTGCTAACAACTTCATTAATAACATTACAAACCCGAATTCCAGTACATATTCAATATGCAACACATTATGAATTGCTTAATTCGCACATTCTTTGGGCTAAATAATGCTCATAAATTTAGTTTTAAGCTCAGATAATTAACACAAATAATTATATCTTTGGACTATCTTTGAAAACTTAAGTCAGTTAGTACACTTTATCGGATTATTCTTTAATTTTGATGAGCAATGTACTTTTAAGCTTAACATCGTAAGCAATATAAATTCCCCAAATAAGAAATGTCATACATATACTACATACCTTGTCATATATTTTGTTTAATAAACGAGGAACCACAGCTATATGTGTTGGTTTCAAAGCCTTCAGGTCATCCACCAATAGACTGAGATCACCACTAAAGAAACCTATTTTCCCTCCATTTAATAGTAGAATCACCTGCATGGATAAAAAATTGTTTTGGAATAAAATTCTTTTAAAATAAATAAAATTACGGAAATTATAAAAATAAAACAAAGGACATAGTTAGGATTTCTCATGCATCTAATACCAGTTTAATCTCTGATATATGCATTCGTCATCCAAAAAAAACGTTGCAGACAGAAGCGAAGTATTGGAATGAAATGTTATTTAGTAGGAAAGACGAAGTCACTAAACGACAATAAATAATTATAAAATGAGAATGTCATCGCAAATTTTATTTCACAATGTAAAGAAATGCTATATCTTTCAAAAGGATACTGAGCCGTCATTATTTTTAATGCCTTCTACAACACATCATAGGGAGTTTTAACAGTTCCCTAACATAATCTTGTGTTATTCGTTCCTTGGAGATTTGATTTATCTTGCCGTTTTTGCAGATTTGATAAAAGTAATCTATAGTACTGACAGCGGATTTGATATTTTTTGTTGGGCAAAGGTTTGGTGATACGGTTGGTTTCATCAACTTTGTCTTGTTAAGTCTTAACACAGAAGCCTATAGCCTCCAAAGATATTTTGTGATAACAGCAGACTTAGAGATGCGGCTGACCACAGAGGAGTATCCATAGTTGCAAGACAAACTCTTAAAATATTAATAATATGAGAACGGGAGCCTACTGGAATTAGGCACCTTTGCTCGTATTCTCAAACGGCAGAGTCAGCCGTCCACGGACCTGATCAACGCATCGCTGATCTGGCAAAATGCTAACTATGAAGGTTAATGGTGATCGCTACGCGATCGTGTGAAATCGCATCCCGTACCATGACATTCATCCGTATAAAGCGCGGTGCTGGGCAGCGAAGCGTCCCTCTTGGAGACGACAGCTTTGCCTGCATACGCGAATGCGTTGGCCATCTTGACGTAGGAAAAATCGAGACGCTTATCGATAAAGATTAAATGCTTCTATTTAGCATGTTTTCAGAAGATTCTCTTCGGCACCACTGTAGTCTTTGATGAGACTGCTGTTTTGTGATAGGCATTCGTCATAACGATCTGCTTGCCTGCAAGGCAATAGCATTGAATCTTCTGTTTATGATACTGGCACTCACAGAATGCTGTAGGAAGAGGATCATTGCTTGCTGAATATCCGCAAATGTGGTAAATATTACCGTTCACGTGGGTTCAACGCTTCTTCCGTTTCATATCATTCCTGTCTGTAGAAATCTCGAAGATCCTATATGTCGTGCGTGCCTACCTTCCTGACTCCACTGCCACCAACAGTGCATGATGGTAACATTCACGCGCTACATATGGTTCGCAGTATAAAGAAATGACCATTCGCCTTCATGCAGTAACATGATGCGACTCTTCTCAAACGCGCCTACTTGTCTAAATTGAGGTTGAATTCATCTCAAATAAAAGCAATATATAAAGCAATGGTTTTAAACTCATACGAAAGCAATGGTTTTAAATAACATAACATTAATCAAAATAAAAATTAAACCTCAACATATCATCATTAGTCAAAATAATAATTACACATTTCAAGGCGATATTTTAATGTATGGCAGGTACAGTGAGAAATCTAGCTCTTTTTTGCGTCATCTGCCTTGACAAGAGTGGAGTTAAAATCATATCTTGCATATCTATGAATGACGAATCTATAAGCTTGATTTCATTCAGATAGATTGCTTCCTTTTAGATGTAATGATGTTTTAAAAATGTGTATATATATATATATGTATATATGTATATATTGTAAGAGTTTTAGCTCTATATGTCACATCTGAGAAATGTTTCAAGTAAGAACTACTTTATAGCACCTGCGATAATTTTAGCAATAATTTTTCTACATCTTAATGCATACCAGATTTATGTGAACCTTAATTCGTCACACTGAATTGTTTCAACAGAAATACACCATGTATATAGCTTGAGATATCTAGATTTTTTTGGAATATGGCTAATCTGAAATGGCAATCTGTCTAAAGGATCGAAGGTTTTCATGGAGGAATTACTTAGGGAATTTGGCTGGTATTCATATTAAACATTGCAAAAGCCAAAAGAACTCTCTTGCAGCCAGTTCGCCAGGATTTGAACTCTTACCAAAATTATACCAGCGATTTTACCTCTCATCCGCTGTTGGTAGTAAAGTTTGAGAGATATCTATTACATACTAATCTCAAAATTTTAATTATTTTCACAATAACTAACTGCATCAAAAAATAAAATATTGCTTTAAACCAGTTTTCTCATATTCTACGTTTACGGTTACATTCTAGTAAGAAATGCCTTCATTCATTAGTTCTACTCACTGCATACTTTATTTCATTATATTCAGTCTTGCAATGAGTCAATAAATAAAGATCGGGAAATATATGGCTCATCCGGATCTTACACCAAGTTAGAATATATAAGACTGACTAGTGCTTTCGAAGTTCGTGTCAGCTTCCCTTAAAAAATTCTCCGTAAATTCCTCTTCGCATTTGGGCCAATGTATTACCAATTCTTTGTCATAATTTAATTAAATTTAGAACCTGGTAAATTGCATATTAATAACTACAGTTACGGAACATCCAGCTGTGACTCTGGTTTAGGTTTAGGCATTAATATGAAGACAACGGCAAGAAAATTCGAAATGAAATGCAGCAGTTAATGCGAAGCAATACAACTATTATTTTCAATGCCAAAAATTTCATGAAAAATAATAATTTCAAATAGGAACAGAAATATAAAGAGTTAATAAATAAAACGCAATCCCATTATTTGGCTCAATAAACAATTAAATTTTTGAAAAACGGTATATTTTACGTCCTTTCAAATGTATTCCTTGTATCGTCCATTCTGGCAACATAATTTCTCTTTTTAGAAAGAATTAGAATGTGATAAAAATTAAATTCTGAATAACCACTTACTTACTTGAACAAATTAAAAATCTTACAGTTGTTAAAAATTAAAACATATTCATAGCTTTATCTGCTGACTTGCATTAACTTGAATTTAATTTCTCTTGGTTGCAACTAATATTCTCAAGAAATTTGAACGATCTTGTTTTGCTTGATTTTAAAGAGCATGTAACAATCAAGCAAACTTTAGAAGCATATGAGATTTCCATATCTCATCCTAGGATAGGACCCGTAAGTTAATAACTGTTTAATAAAGCCATGATGCAGGTGTTATACACACGCATCTCTTCCTGCTGTTATGATTTGCTAAATCTTGCACTATATCACTCATGGTAAAGCGTGGTGCTTTGTTCACTAGTTACAAAACACGAAATGAAATGTAAACGTAAAGAAATAATTTATCGAAGTAGACGGAACTTAATAATCTGATTAAATTTAAGAAAGTTTGCATTTCATTTCACTTTTTGTAACTAACTGATGTAAATTACAGCCTAGAAATAAGTGGATACACATCAAGCTTTTAGAATTAGTGACAGGAATACTGTCTTGTCGCAATGTTGCTGTTTGCAGGCTCAAGATGGTGTAAGATTAGAGAGGAATAAGTGGGAAGAACAAATGGACCGCGCCATTTGACGATAGAATTTTACTGAAGTACAGAATATCAAAGTGTCATTACCTGAATAATCCTCTCCATCATGTGAGCAAGAGGTAAGAAAGACAAATAAGAATCTCCTTTGCCGGGAGCTGCATCACCCTAAAAAACGTCAGAAAGTTGAAATAATTATTAAATCTAAAAGTTTGAAGTAAATCTTAAATAAAAATTTAAAATTACTTGTTAGAAATGTAGTAGCTGAAACTTTGAACAATCATAACTTCATGTATCATTTCACTTTTCTTGTTAAAAGGGATATAAATAACACATCCTAAAATTTTCAAACGCTTAGGTGAAGTGCATCAGGTAACCTTACCTTTAAGGTACCTTTAAGATTTGGCTTAGATAGTTTTCAATTTAACATAACCAAACTTATTTATTCGCATAAATTATTCTCGTCAGAAACTAACTAATTTCTTTACTGAAGATACCACGTACGGATAAAACTGAACTAAATATTAATTGATATGGCTAGCAGATTTTATAAACTGGAGTTCAAAATTAAGTAAAAGCTATCAAACGCTATATGTAAAGTTGTAAGGATCTTAAGTTTTACTAACGTTTATTTTATTTTAAATCTTTACTATCACTTCTTATTTTCCACTTCCGGCCAGAATTATAAGCGTTAAGGATTTTATTCAAAGTTTGTCTGGCGAACGCCAAGTATTTAAGTGTGGCCTTTTTGCCAAGCAAGAGAGAGGAAGCAGTGAGTTCGAAGCAGGCCGCTTACCTTAGAAGTTACGCAGTTGCTATTTGCCTTCCAGGCCAGAGGTATTAATCCTCTTGATAAATTAAACGTATTGTAGTGTTCACAGTCTCTGTGCTACATACGCTTCCTGTTATTATAAGGCCCAATCTTATTCTAAAGTTAAATTAGAGTTTAGTTTTATTTTGATATCTTTTACGTTAGACCCCGAGTGGAGGATCATTGTATCCGAAGTACGGAAAGTCATTGTATAATAAAGAAAAATAAAGGGTTTTGTATACCCTTCGTCTGTATCCTGTCTACTTACTACTACAATTAGTGAACATAGCTTTAGTAAGCTCTCTGTTCCTAGTCAGGTCCTTGTATGTTTCCGAAGAAGGTTAGAAGAAACATTGAACCTGATAGTGGCGCGCCCGACGAAGAAGAATAACCATGGCCGAGTTTCAAGAAGAACCTGTGCTGCCTGCAGAAACGGCTCAGAATCCAGAAATGCCAGCTGCCGCCCTGGAAGGATTTGGGTACATCGTCCAGACCATGCGCGCTTCGATGAAACCAGAAGCAACATTTAACGGAAAACTCACCGGTAACCAGTTTTTTGGAAAATTGGATGACCACTTCATGCTCTACCCCCGTGCACGAGTTTCAGAAAGTTACCTTAGCTACCAGCGCTTTGAGGGGCCAAGCGCTTAAATGGTTCAAATGTATCGGCAGAAGTCTCTTGGGTCAAGCAGGAAGTCCCACCTATACTTACGAAATTTCAAGACTGCCCTACTAAAAGCCTTCCCTGTTGTAAGGGATCGTGCGAAATTAGAAACAGAACTTTTTTCAGTATATATCAACAAAGAATGGAAAACCTCTCGAGCTTTATTTTAAGAAAAATTCACGTTTTCAAGCTCTTGTATGGAAACCGTCCGGATCCTGAAATAATTCAAGTGATTTTGCCCGAGGTTACTTTACCCCAAGTGCAAGACTTTATTGAATTAACGAAATCCGACTACACTGGAAAAGTTATTTTGAGCTAGCAATCCAGTTTGAAAGTAGAAGAACGGCGGACGTCGAAAGAAGACGCCAATATCAACAGCGAAACCAATTTGGTACGCCAAGACTACAGCAAACTCAAGCACATGGCTACGGAGAAAAAGCGAATCAGTGGGCGAAGGAAACCCGAGCATTCAAAAACAGCCGGCGAACGTCGACAGTTCAATAGCAACCCAGGATAAAAAGTCTCAAGACCACGGAAAAAGAAGGAAGGCCTGGAAGAAGGAAAGCACGGAAAGAAGAAAAATAATTTAAACTAAAACGGATTTCTGCTAACGAGAGGGTGCGGAAATCCGAAGGCCACGAAAATCCCTCTTCCTACAAGTTAAATACAGTAATGGTGAAAAATTTAACTCTTCCGAAGATTGAAGTCTTGGTAAATAATATCCCGGCCACCGCACTCCTGGATACCGGCGCGCAGTGTTCCTGTGTGGCAGAAGTCTTTTTTAGAAAGTATTTTCGCAAATACCGCATATATAATGCGGATAATACGACAGTATTAGCGGCGCAAGGAAAAGAATGTAAGTGCGTAGGTAAAGTACCTTTATATATCCGTATCAAGGACGAACAAGTAAAGGTGATGTTTTTTATAGTAAAGAATTTGCAAGCACATTTAATCCTAGGAATAGACTTTCTTTCAGACGCACAAGCTACACTGGATTTTAATGAAGCGTCCCTTAGGCTGACAATGAAATCAGTGCGTGTAGAAAAGGTTGAACCGCCAAGGTTAAATCTTGACCACCTGCCTAATGACAAGCAAGATAGAATCCGACAAGTGGTAAGTGAATTTGCTTCCTTATTTAGTGATATTCCAGGATTTACTCAGGTTACTAACCATAGTATTGACACCGGAGATGCATTGCCGGTTCGTCAAAAACCATACCGGTATGATAAGAATAAGGAAAAAATTATAGAATGGCATATTACCGATATGCTACGTAAAAAGATCATAACGCCCATCTCAAGTAGTTATGCTAGTCCGGTGGTTTTATGTAAGAAAAATAATGATTATCCTTTGGAGCATCCAAAAGGTGGAGATTCGCTATTGATTACCGTAAATTAAATTCCATAACGAAATATCCGGTATATCCGTTACCGATCATAGAAGAAATTTTAAGGAACATAAAATCAACCAAATTTATGACGACTTTAGACTTAACGAATGGTTATTTTCAAATAGGGGTCAGGCCTGAGGACGTGCCTAAGACTGCTTTTATAACCAAGTCTGGCACTTATGCATTTTTGCGTATGCCGTTTGGCCTTTCTGGGCCCCAGCAACATTTCAGCGATGCATGGACATTGTGTTAAGACCTGTTTCTTGGAAAGTCCACATTTATCTATTTAGACGATATCATTATTACTAGTGATAATCTCGACCAACATATACAGGATTTAAGACAGGTGTTTTCTTTATTAAATGAGGCCGGTCTAAAAGTTAATGTCGAAAAGTGCAAATTTGCAGCCCCTGAATTAAAATATTTAGGTTACAAAATATCGCAAAAGGGATCGAGACAGATGAATCAAAAATAATCGCTGTACAAAAGTATCCGACTCCAAACACGGCAAAGAAGCTCTCTTCTTTTCTAGGACTTTGTTCATATTATAGGTCCTTTATAAAATATTTTGCGGCTATCGCTGAGCCATTGTTAAAATTAAAAAGGAAAAAGGCAAGATTCTCGTGGACGGCCGAAGCCAATAGTGCTTTTTCGAAAAAATTAAAAACAAGCATTAACGCAAGCCCCTGTGTTGAAATTTCCTGAAAAGGATGAAAATTTAGAAATTTCAGCGGATGCTTCGGATTATGCGGTAGGAGAGGGTACTTTCGCAAAATCAGCAGCCCGTGGCATTTTTAGCCGAACTTTAAATCAAACACAAAGAAACTATTCCGCGACCGAGAGAGAGGCACTTGCAGTTCTGTTAGCAGTGCAAAAGTTCGAGTCTATTTTGGAAAGGCGCCGATAACAGTATATTCTGATCATGCGGCGGTAACTAGATTGTACTCAGGGAAAAATTTATCCCCAAGATTAATAAGATGGGCACTCAAGCTGCAAGAATATAATCTGGTAATCAAGCATACCCCCCCCGGAAAGGAAAATATCGTAGCAGATGCCCTATCACGAATTAAATTAGACGAACAGGGTAATACCGTAAAGTTGCAATGCTGACAGCGTGTACAATAAATTCCCGAGAAACTGTAATAACCGAACTGGGTAAGGATCCTGAGTTTGGAAGTATTTATGAGTATTTGAAGGATCCTGAAAATTTTAGCCACCAAGATATTGTGGCGATAAGAAATAGAGCGGCCCATTACGAACTAATAGATGGTCTATTATTTTATACAAAAACTACGAATTCCAACAACGAATTTCGACCTGTTATCCCAGCTAGTCTTAGGTTAAAATATCCTGCATGAGCTCCATGACAGCCCTTTAGCTTCTCATGCTGGTATTCGAAAAAACTATCCAACGCGTACGCGAGGCAGTCTACTTTCCTGAATCCTGAACTGCAAAAAGTTAACAAGGGCGTATGTCCAGTCCTGCCCCAACATGTCAAGCCGTTAATTATATTAATTTCCGCCCGGCCGGGTTTCTAAATAGTATTAAATCCGAATTTCCAAATGAAATAATCGGCCATCGATTTATTGGGCCCTTTCCCAAAAAGTCAGTTAAATAAAAGTCGCTATCTCCTTGTTATGGTTGATCATTTTAGTAAATGGACCGAAATTGTTCCCTTAAAACGAGCCTCCGCGAAATTAGTTACCGATTCTATTTTAAATAAATATATTTTAAAATACGGGGCGCCCCCTAAAAGTTATATCGGATAATGATCCTCAATTTGTAAGTAATATATTTGAAGACATGTGCCAAAAACTGGGCATACGTCATTTAAAAATGGTCCCGTATCGGCCGCAATCAAATATAGCGGAACGGGTCAACAGAAATATAGTGAAAATTATCCGTAGTTATGTTAAAAATTTTCATAAAAGCTTTCGTAAAATAACTATGTCAATGAATTTGCTTTCGCCCTTAGGACCGCAAAACATGATACAACGGGAAAAACTCCTGCTGAGTTATTTCTAGGCAGAAAGATTATAACACCGTTAGATAAACTATTTTATGTGTGCAACAAAGAGCCCCAGAATTTAAAATGGGCTGATATAGAAAAACTAATTAAAGAAGGCAAAGAAGAATACTGAAGTAGCACAAGAGAAAACAAAAGCTGTATTATGACATGAATGAAACGACGGGGAGTAAACTTATAAAGTATGGGATGAATTGTACTAAAAATTAAGCATTCACTTTTCTTCAGCACCAGAATATAAAACTGCCAAATTTTTTCCACGATTTGAAGGACCATT